CCCCAAAACCCCAAAACCCCCAGCAATGCAGATTTAAGTTAAAATAAGGTTTTAGGTATTATTGAAAACTAGTAAATGTATTTAGATTAATTTTTATCTGCTAAATCCACATTAATTATTATAAAGAATACTGGAAATGGAATCGAAAATATTGTTTGTGCATAAAAATACCACACGAAATCATCTATACTCAGTTCAGGAGGAGAGTAATTTATCTATAACAATGAATAATATTGACAATCCTGGAACGAATGGTGCAAACTTTGGAAGTCAAGCAGTTGCTATAGGCACTTCTGAAGATCCTGAATAAAAATCAATGAGCGACTGGCCTCAGTTTACTTAAAACAGCGATAACGATGACAAAACCTTGAGATTTTCTAAAGATATACCTGTGAGCATCCCAGGATTTCAAAGTATAGACAATTAGACATCATTTAACAAAAAATATGATTCTTTTTATTTTAGGTACACTTTAACTTAAGCGGAAAGCCTCAAAGAAATGTAGATATACTCCACACTTTCATCATATTAACGAAATCGATTGTAAGTTATTTTTAACTAAACTCTGTAATTTAATCCTCCAGATTGAACTTTTAATATCTATTTGACTATATTATTAACCTCTATTTAGTGGAAATGTAAAATAGTCATCGAAGAATGCTTGCTCAAGATGTTGAAGAAGATAGCGATGATTCTTATAATAAGTATAGCAAAGAAGCTCACTTACAGGAGGGCGAGAAAGACATTTATGAAGACTCAAGAGAAATAGAGTCTACTGTCTAACAGTAGCATAATAATTTTGTGAATCTAAAGCCACCAGGAAATGCTGACTATGTAGAACTGGTTAAAACAATTAAAAGAGCCAGATTAGATTCTCTAATGGGTGTGAATCATAATTTCTTGGAGAATGATGCATCTGCTTCTTAGGTTCTGAATAAATAGCTTACAGCTACCGGTGGAATCTATAAGATTTTCGACTTGGGAAACAAGCAATATAAGGACTGTACATTTTCTGATATTTTAAACTTTAAGAGGCTACTAATATCCACAATGAGAAGAGCGACTCTCATTACTGATTTCAGCAATAACGAAAGGCCGAATTGTTATATGATATTGATAAGCTAAATAAATGAAAGCAACTTAAGATAAATCCTACAGATTTATGATCTTAATCCACTCCTACTTTGGGAGATAATACTTAAGCAACAATATGACAAAGTAGTTAAGATTGATGATCAAACAGCCTTTTATAACTTTGAAGTATTGGAGGATAACTCTCTACTTAGAAAGTTTATAGTAAAAGTTATTCATTTACTGACTAAAAATATGATGTTTGTCTTCACTACACAGAGAGGACAACCAGGCTTGATGACTTTGCTTAGAAAAATATTTAAATTCAAGGAATTGTCTGAGTTACCAGTTTCAAAGAGAAAAAGCATATTAGATGACTTTTGAATAGTTCATATTAGTCAAATTGAAAATCTACGTGAAAATGATGAAGAAAATCAGACCACATAAGCAGCCGAAAAACATGCATTAAACAATGATAAATTAAGTATTATTCCCAAGAACTCAGATGATAGTCTATAAGTATCTGAGAACGGGAATAGTAGCTTTTACAAAAGTGAAAATTCAAGTTTGTCTTAAATTGTTGGTAAATAATAGAAGCGAGGATTAAAGTACAACAAGTAACAAACAGAATTTAGTGTAGGTCTAGCTACTTCAGGATCTCTTAATTGTGAAGATCTTATCTATGGAATTATAGATGAGTCACTTAGAAAAATTGAACCAATAATAGTAAGTTTTGACCGAGAAGCTTAAGCTCTTAATAATCTAAGTTTGAACTTAAGCTATTAAGAGAAGCTTGGCTATGTTAGACGTAGTCATCTGGCAAAGGACATAATGGTACACTTCTAAAATGATCTTGAAGTAAAATAGCAGCTATTCAAAAAGCTTTAGCGCCAGACTTTTGCGTCACCAAAATTAAAACTGCTCATAAAATTCCTGAAAGGTAGACTTTGTAACTCTTTGATTATTATGAAAAAGGCAACAACCTAGATTCAATTAAGCGACTAAACCTATGAAAACATGGTTGATAGTGGAATATAAGAGCAATCAAATAATCTTAATACAATTATGCAAAGCTTAGCTGCAATTACTGTTGTCATTCTCCCTTTTAATGTCATCAGTGGTTTTATGGGCATGAATGTACTCGTTCCATTCGCAGAAGTAGAAAGTGTACTTCCATTCTTTATGCTATTTGCAACCTCTTCTGTCCTAGCTATATTGCTTTATTATATTCTCAAACATATGAAATGGATGTGAGAATGAAATAAGGTTAAAATATTTTTTGAGATCTTTCAAAATAATCAACATTCTTGAAGATTCAATATTAGGCCAACCATTAAAAATCTATCCTATTGATTTAATAATTTATTTAAAAGAATAATATAATTTTTTCAAATATGCTGGATTAACTCGGGGTTTTGGGGTTTTGGGGTTTTGGGG